CAAATTATAGCACTGACACAATAAGGTAAAGTATTATTCCAAAAAATATTCTAAATGTTAAATATGGATAAATGTGTTTGTCTCTATAATGAGTCAAAGAAGTTATTTATTCATCCTTCCACAGCTCAAATTGTAAAGGTGCAATTCTTGTAGAAGTTTGACCCGATGTCTCCATGGAAATGTTAGTGCTTTGTCCAGAATGTTCCACAGTATTGATGAAACCTATCTGTCTCGAGGGCGGCAAGCAGGTTACGGCACTACTCCACATTACATATTACAGTTCAGATCTGTGGAGAGTCACCCCTTTTCACAGTAGAAATAGTTGTTTTTTGTTTTTTGGGCAACAGAAACACCCGTAATGAAGAAATGCGCTGGAAAAAACAGTATCTAGGTAAGTTAAAATGACCTAAATTAAGAACATTTGACTTTTTTTGAGTCGATTCAACTTGACAAGTCAAATTATCTACGAATGGAATAAGTGTGTTTTTCTTAATTCAAGCAATATTCGATTTCGTTTCTTATTTTACGTCCAAAAAGTTGTTGTTTTTCATAATTTAAGTCCAAAAAGTCTTATTCCACTGAGAGATAATGTGAAGTGAAATTGACTCAAATCATGACAAATCTTTCTTAATTCAAGTCATCTTAACTTGACTAGATTTTGTTTTTTGCAACGTGCTCGATGGAAATGTTTAAAGTCGTACCATGGAACGTTCAAGAAAAATAGTTCAGTGCACCTTCAATGTAGGAACAGAAAATCAAACAAAAAATGTGCCGCTAGTATAAAGAAAAAGCCCTCACGATAAATACTGACCCCCAAAGATGATTGTTCCGTTTAACAAATATTGGACGATAAGTCAATGTAGTAAAGTAATTATCATAACAGGCCTCGAAATCCGCTCATGGGGAATGTCTATGGCGCAGGAATGCCCACAATCCCGGATCAAACGGTTTCTAGTAACAAAGTAAGAGCCAGCAAAGACAGCTGCCTCTGCAAACTGGAATCTGGAGCCGTGTGCCACTCGGAGGAAGTCAGTATTCCATTTTAAGCACCACAAGATGTTAGATAACCACCACTCCTTATCCTTAAGCATAACTTTCCCAGTTTTGTGTGGACGGATGCCAATGTTCTGACAGTGCCAAAACCACATCCCCAGAGAGCCGAGCTGGAGCGAGCGCAGAGACAGGTGTAGCGAGAAACCAAAGAGCGTGTGTCTCCAGAGAGCGCTGTTTAAAGGGCCCGTATTAGGCTGTTCTCTGATCTGTGTTGTAATGTTGTTTCCTCATCGCAAACATACCTGGAGTTGAGTTTTGCTTCATTCACACATGTTTAACCCGCAATCTCTGCATACTTAAGATGAGTTCTGCCTTTTGATGCCATGTGCTAATACAGGAAGTGCTCCACGGTGTTTTTAAACTCTATACACCTTCACTAAAATCCTGGAATTCCCAACTTCTGCTGAACTAAGGTTACGTTTACGCCGTATCAATCGAAAACAGTCTGCGTCCAGACACGTCGTTTCTGTGTCCGCAATCCTTCCCTATCCACACAGCTTTGAGCACATTTGTTTACGTTTTACAGAAACTAAACTTAAAACCGCATGGCTAATTTGCATAAACTGAGCGCTCAAAAAACAGCTCGTTATTGTGCGCTGATGCGGTTCAGCTTCTGTTGAACTAAAGGACACGACTCAGTGGAATATGAGGGGTGTTCTGCTGATGGTGAGTCTGTTCTGTGTTTCTGTCGCGTTGGAGATGGTTCTTGTTAAACTTTTCAGAGATTATACGTCTGCAGGTCGTACGCATAGACCGTATATATGAATGGACATATATTTTAGCCTCTTAGCATTTTGGCAGTAAATTATTTCACGGCGCATAGACCTACATCAACGTATCAACGTTTTCAGGCGTCGACACGGTGCCGGATCAGATCTGTACTCAGATGAATTCATGGGAGTCGGTGGCACCAGATCTTTCCATCTCTGGAGATGTTTTCCATCATATTAGTGTGGACGAACATCTGCAACGAAAATGACTTGAATACATACTAGTGTGGCTGGGGAGTAAAGGTAAAAGGAGCTGTTAACTTGAAAACTGTCAGTTCATGATATCACAAGGTGGAGCTGAGCATTTTGAGTTTTGAAGATGTAAACAGACGAATAATAAAGTGTTTCTCCTTCTTTTCCTTGACGATTAATTGACCAAGAATTTATTGCGATAAACAATAATATTGACATTTTGAGACCAATTTCAACTAATATAATGACCATGGAATAACAAATGCAAATACACCCTTTCAAAGATCAATAAACCTTACTTTCTAAAGAACATTTAACACAGGAACTGTAAGACAACCAAAAACAATAGGTCTAACAAACAAGCACACAAATAGAATTTATCGTGGCTGGAAAAGTTATCGAGCTTGTTAAAAGTTATCGTACAATTAATCGATTTATTATTTATTATTGTTACAGGCCTATTCACAAATATGTGTAAATAAAACAAAACACAACTCCAGGTCTGTTTCTGATGAGGTAACAACATTATAACATGGCTAAAACTCACAAGAGTCAATTTTGTGTAATAAAGGTCCTTTAAAGCCTCCCGCCAGGCTCAAGGAGTATAATAACTCATAACAGACTTGATTTCGATACTACTACTACAAATAATAATAATGCATCAGTTTTATAAAGTGCTTTCCTGGACACTCAAAGATGCTTTAGAGCATTATTCATTCACTTCACACTCGTAAACAAAGCTGCCAGTCTGCGCTGTTGGTTCCTCTGACCACCACCATCACTCACACACATATCGCTTTCATACTAGGCAATGTGGGTAAAGTGCCTTGCCTAAGAAATGAAAGTTTTTGTATGTGGCACCTGATTTTCCCAGTGGTTTCCCATCCAAGTACTAACCAGGCCCGGACTTGCTTAGCCTCCGACATCTGACGGAATCAGACTTTGACAAACTGGTATGAGCACAACACTAAGGAATAACCCCCATACTCTGTACTGTCTCCGATACCATGATGATAATTAAAAAAAAAAACACTTTTCAGCATTAAATCATAGTACTTTCTTTTAGATTACCATGCAACTTTTAATTTGTGTAATCCCTCAGTGATCCAGATAGGTTCCATAGTAGTCCATGGGCGTATACTAGTCTATGTGCTCTTGTATTTGTTCTGATACAGCTCAAGATTATTTTAAAGCTTCAGGAAAGCTAAATGTCTGTCGTGTGAATGTGAATTTTTTAGTATCGATACCTTCTTAATTGAGTGTGTAGTTTTGATACCAGTTTTATTATGGATTAGTATTTGATTGTCGATTCTTTTGACAGTCTCAGTGGCAGGTGCTTGCCTGCTGGCCCTGCCTCGCTTTAATCACAGTCTCCTCACACACTTCTGTGGTCTCTCTGTGTTTGTTTCTCGTGGCCCCAGTGCCAGCGCTGCCCTGAGCCTGCTGCTGAGGGAGCTGCTCATTAGCTCAGAGCTAATATTTCAGCCCATTTAACCACTGTGTGTCTTGGTGGTCTCCTTTTGGCTCCGGATCAGGCCTCTTTAGTGCTGTGGTCTTTGACTGGCTCCCCACAGTGAGTTTATTTTGGGGATATGGGTCATTGCATCCCCAAATTCAACATATGGATCCTGGAAAGCTTTGACTTCCTCGGATGAAACTTTCTGACATTCTTTGGCAGAGTGCGTTCACCTCTGCTCGGACTCACATCCAGCTGTACACGGCTCCAGTCCTCCCACATAACTCCTCTTTATTTGACTTCACCAATCTGACATTTAGTAGGACTCATAAATTTCTGTGCAAAAGAACTTTGCCTTTGGAGAAGAGATTTATCTGTCAACTTCACATTTCACTTTACACTAGACTGAAAGGACCCCAGTGGTTGATGATGTGGGGCTCTGTTGTTGTTCGTACATATTTTATGTACATTCTTTCACATGGAGTCATCTATTTTGCATGTGTATGTGGCCTGTGTCAGTGTTGTGCTTCACTAAGCTTAATGCAGTCCACACACAAGATCCAGTAAATTTAAGTACATGTGTTCTTTGGCCTGTTGCATGGACTCCATCTGCACAGGGCCAACCACTCTTACCTAACCAGACCATACTCATAACTCTAAAAGTGAGGACATATTTTTCTGTTTGTGCTGGGGTTGTGTTTGAGGTGAGCATTTGAAGCTTTATATAAATACATACATTGAGTCTCACCTAAGCCCCACACTCTGTGTGGTACGGCTACATCCATTAAGGGACGAGGGGCCGACCTGGGCATAGATGATTATTTGAGTTAACTATGACGACTGGACCACCAGCATAGAGACAAGTGATGCAGCTGCCGCTGGGTGAAACAAAAGTTTACATATTACACAGTAATTTAAATGTTTTCGAAACATGTTGCCAAGACAGTGGAGATGGCAGCTCTCTACTTGTTCTTGTTTTTTTTGTTTTTTTTACGGTGCTCCTTCTCCTTTTTAAAAGGCTTCAGTTTTAGATTTTAGATCCTATGAGTAAAGGGGGACAGGGAGCAAAAAGCACGGACTGAAGCACTCTGCACTTTTGTGCTCTCTATGAACTGTGAGTGAGCTAATAAATTCTTTCAGCCACTCAGCATAGCATTCACGGATATCCCCTGAAGATTACACACACAAATCACAGCACAATGGAGGCCACCGGGAGGGCCCCGGCGTCACAGGGGCCCCCTGACCCTCAGGACAAGCGCACATAACCAGGCTCCCCTCAAACTGGCTAAAGGGGATTGTAGAGGAGGTGCCCTGTCCAGAGTCACACTCAGAATAATAGCTGCTAATGGTACATTCTGTGAGGTGGGTGAAGGTGTGAAGTGAATTGCTTTGGACGGAGAGGAGAATGAAAAAAACACTGGAATTCAAAGGATTTACAAAAAGAGGGATTAGAAAAGAATAATTTAGAGGCATTGCATGTTGTGCAAGAGCAGCATAATTAACTTGTGGATATTTCTCAATGACTCCAGGGCGGAGATGAAAGAGGGCTGCTTAGCCTGGCATTCCACCCCAATTACAAGAAGAATGGCAAACTGTACGTGTCCTACACCACCAACCAGGAGCGCTGGGCCATCGGACCCCACGACCACATCCTCCGAGTGGTGGAGTACACTGTTTCAAGGTACACGATATTCAAAGCAGCACACATCCTACTCTGTACATATTGAGTCTATCCAGTGTACCAACCTAGAGGATCGCTGCTTTCTATTTATGTGTGTCATTTATTGATTATTTGGAGTACCAAAGCTAAACCAGGACACCAGCGGGGTTACACTAGGACACAATGAGAACTGAGCCAGAACAAGAATTTGACTTAACTGCAAGAGCTTGTCTGCAAACGCTAACATTTTTAAATCATTAAAATTGTGTAAATTACAAGCAGACGTGTTCATGTTGATATGAGTTGCAATTCCTCTTTCTCACGTAAAGACTTAATTTCACATTTTGAATAGCCTGGTTGTGATGACTGTCTGAGTCAGTAGTCGCACTGACTGCAGCACAGCCTTAATTGAAGATGATACAACTAATTAAAACTGTATTGAAACATCCATTTTCAACGTGAATCCAAGTCCACACATTCACTTAACATTGTGCAACAGCTCAAAGTTGTGTAAGCAGTGATCCACCCACTGTCTTCTTCAATGAGACAAAACTTCGGCCTCAGAGCGTCTCCAGACAGCAAATGATTTTGACCCAATTCTCTGCGTGTCGTTGGCCGCCGCGTCAGCATCCTCTGCTTACAGCGATTATGGGGATTCTTAAAACACCTTGTTGCAAAATGTAAATAAAAGCAAAGCATATACAGCAATCTAAAGAATTACTGCGTCTCGTAGAAAAAAAAGTAGGTCAGTCATTCTTCAGGCTTCAATATTTAGATAGTGAAACTTAAGAATAGTGTTTAAACTGATCGTGAAAATAAAGTAAAGTCATTTTTAAAGAGCCCATATTACGCTATTTTATCATCTTACCTCGTGATAAAACATACCTGGAGTTGTTTTGTTTCATTCACACATGTTTAACACCCATGAAAAAAAAAGAAAACACTCCGTTCCACCTTGTGATGTCATGTAATAATACAGGAAGTGCTCCACTGTGTTTAGAAATTCCATACACTTTCACTAGAAACATTTGGGTGATTTCAGTCCTAGAATTGCCAATCTCTGCTTAACTAAAGGTAAAAGGTGCTGTTAACTTAAAAACTACCACTTCATGACATCACAAGGTTGGAACAAAACATTCTGAGCTTTGGAGATGTAGACAGACTAATAATAAAGCAACGCTCAAACATGTGTGAATGAAACAGAACAAAACTCCAGGTCTGTTTTTATGATGTATCAACATAAAACATGGTCAAAAGCTCACAAGAGTCAGTTTTGAATCTGATACTGTTCATTTGTTTTTCAATATAAAACCAAAAATAAGAAAATGAAAAAACAACATTATTTGTCTCCAAAACTAAAATGAAAAACAAAAAACAAATAATGATTTGTTTTTTCAGTTTTCGATTTTGTGTTTAAATGAATAAAGGAAAAAACAGATAACCAGACCGGAACTAGATCGGAACTAGACCGGGACCAGGACCAGGACCAGGACTGAGACCAGGACCAGACTGGGACTGAGACCAGGACCAGACCAAGACTGAGTCCGGGACCAGGGCCAAGACTGAGACCGGGACTGAGACCAGGATTGAGACCGGGACCAGACCGAGACCAGACCAGAACCAGACTGGGACCAGACTGGGAGCAGATCAGGACTGAGACTGGGACTAGACCGGGACTTAGACTGGGACCAGACCAAGACTGAGACCGGGACCAGACCGTGACTGAGACCAGGACTGAAACTAGGACCAGACCAGGACTAAAAATGGTTTAGTAAAAAGTCCGGCATCGCAGTTTAAGTCACGGAAACGGGAAACGGTCGTTATCTGTTTTTTCATTTTGGTTTTAGAGACAAATAATGAAGAAAATAAATAGTTTTTCGTTTTCTTATTTGTGGTTTGATGATTAACGGATTATTTCACATAATATTGGACCAATATAATAAGCAAACTGAAATGGCTGAGTTGGTAATAATGTTTGTAAATGTTTGCGTTAGGAAAAACCCCAACCAGGTGGACACGCGGACAGTGCGAGTTCTGATGGAAGTGGCTGAGCTCCACCGGAAGCACCTGGGGGGTCAGCTGCTGTTCGGCCCCGACGGTCTCCTGCACATCATCCTGGGAGACGGGATGATCACACTGGACGACATGGAGGAGATGGACGGGCTCAGGTAGGAACATGGGGGCACTTCCGGCTCCATCGATTCTGGCTCCAAGTGACTTAACATTGAAAAATGATCGCCCCTCTCTCTGTAACTTCTGCTGTTTGCCTCGTCATTTTGATCACGTTAACCCACTCTACATGATACTGGTGTTTTTATTTTGTTATTTTCTCTCTAAATAAATTCCTAGACCTTTTTCACAACGGCCAGAAGTGCCAGGATGTTGGGTAAACGGCACTTCCGGTTAATGCTTTTCTACGGCAAAATATCTGTGGAAATGTCTTGCGTATTCTCCACCAGCTTCATAAATCTGCCCCGTCACCAAATCTTCATCCAAAACAAGGTTCGACAAAGCATAAATATTCTGTCCATGAAGAATTTATCCACAAACTATCAAGGAAAGAAAGACGAAAACATAAAGGCAAACAACGACGAGCATTAGTGAACTACTGAACACAACCAACGTTACGGTCATGAAAAAAATATAAGTAACTTGTTAACTCAGACTGATTCTACAATTAAAATTAAAAACTGATTTCATGATGTCGATATTTGCATAGACAGAGAGTTTTGTGCAGTTTAAATGCCATGACATGTAATTTGTGAACATCTGTATCATTTAAACTGCACAAATCTCTCTATCTGTGCCAATATCGACATCATGAATCATGAAATCGATTTTTTATTTCAATTCTAGAATCAGTTACTTATTAACGAATTACTCATTACTTATGTTTTATTCATGACCATGATGTTAGTTTTGCTTAGAAGTAGTTCACTAATGCTCGTCGTTGTTCACCTTTAGGTTTTCGACTTTCTTACCTTGATCGTTGTGGATAAATTCTTCATTCATGGACAGAATATTTCCTTTGTCGACCTTGTTGGATGAAGATTTGGTGATGGAGCAGATTTATGAAGGTGGTGGAAAATACGTGAGACATTTCCACAGATATTTCGCCGTAGAAAAGCATGTACCAGACGTTTTGTAAACCTACAGCGGGGCACTTCTGGTTGTTGGGAAAAAGGTCTATAGGTCTATAACTGCTTGCCCCATGAGCTTCATTTGACTGAATGCGATATTTAATTTATTCTACCCTGTACAGCTCAAATTCCTTACCACAAAAAATTAAAATAAAATCTAAATTCTCCCCACTGTTGTAAAGAAATAGTACACATGATAAATATTTATGTATGTCTACGTTTCTCTGTTTTATTGACTTTTTGTGTATTAAATATCGTGACAGACCTAATCGCCGTCCCAGATGTGCTCATGTGCTGTCTGTGTGTGTCCAGTGATTTCACAGGCTCCATTCTGAGGGTGGATGTGGACACAGACTGCTGTTCCTCCCCGTACTCCATCCCGCTCAACAATCCCTATTTCAACAGCACCAACCAGCCTCCGGAAATCTTTGCACACGGATTACACGACCCAGGAAGGTCAGTGGAACTTCAAGGTGACTTCGATTCAAGCCACACCTGTTATAACACCAACGCTATCTGGTTTAACTGCTAAAAAGTCTAACACCAGTCCTGACTACTATCATAAATTTGACATTTGAGGAAAAAACGGATTAAAATTACCTCCTAATAATGGTCCGTAAACAGTTCAGAGAAGACATATTACGCTTTTGTCTGCTTTAGTTATAATCTATGACACCCATGGGTCATTCTGTTATAATTTGGACTTTTTAAAATCACAAAATTAATCTAAAACGACTTAATAAAAGAAACAAATCCGCTGACATCTGTGTTAGAAAACCGTGGGGTCCAACTGCAAACGTCATCAAAACAAATACTCTACTCCAGGTCCGATGGAAATATGAAGATCACACTAGTGAGCAGCATTTTTTTATTCATTTGTACGAAAATGACAATCTTACACGTATCAATGATTAAGAAAATAAAACTAGAGAACAAAATAAGTACAGAGAAGTGGGCGCCACCTATTACCTCCACTCAATTTCATTTCTCTCCAACGACGAGGTCAGGAATCGGAATACACTAGACGGTTCGCAAAAACTCCGGAAGTGTGAGTTCAGGCACTTCCAGGTTTTTGCACTTCCGTGGTTTTTGCACTTCTGGGGTTTTGCACTTCCAATCAGCGAGGAGCCATACATTCTGTGTTGTCAGTGATTCCCGAGATCGAGGATTTAAAGCCAGAACAAAGAGAATGTTTGGTGAATTTTATCAAGGGGAAAGACGTTATTGCCCTTCTTCCTATGGGATTTGGAGCATTACATACATCACGACCAAATAGCAGCGATTGGTTTAATTAAAAATAGTACACGCGTACCGTCAAGCGAGCGAATTCTAACACTACGAGGTCAGACGTTTCTACGAAGTGAAACCGGCAGATGAATCAGGTTAGACATTTACCGGGGACAGTAAAAACTAGAGTTGAAAGTTGATATGATATCGTAAAAATAAATGATTACAGATTGTTCAAACATGCACGAATCACTCCAAATACAACTTCAAGAGGATAAATGAGAAGAGGAAACTATAACATGGTTTAACTGGCTCTAAAAACTTTCATAATAAGTCTGTGTAAATGTGTTAGATGTGCCGTGGATCGACTTCAGACCGACAACGGAAGTCTTTCGATACTGTGCACCGACACCACGGGGAGGAACACCACATCAGGGAGAATACTGGACATCTCGAAAGGAAAGGATTATGGTAAGGTAGAGTCTCTCACATGGACGTTCAAATGTGTCAATGTTATTTTGTAGATAGTTAAATTTAATATTGTTTTTTTTTTTTTTTATCCAGAAAATGAGCCTTCTGTGTATAACCTGCAGTCCAACGGCGGCGCTCCACCTGTAGGCGGCTTCATCTACAGAGGCTGTCAGTCGAGGCGGCTTTACGGGAGTTACGTGTTTGGAGATAAGAATGGGTACGTTTCATGACAATAATAATGCATTTTATTTTGTATTATAACACACTTCTCTCTCTTAAAGTGGTACAGAACATTACAAACTTTATTGATCCACAAGGGAAATTATTTGGACACAGTAGCTCACACATCACAATATTTTATAAAAAAAAAAAGGAGTACCGTATTTTCCACACTATAGGGAGGACGCACTGTCATAGAATGGTCTATTTTCGAAATTTTTTCCACAAATAAACCGCACCGGACTTTAAACGAAACACAACAGTTGGATGAGTCAGTGGGACTTTGTTTGTGGCGTTCACGGTGACTCTGGGCTTTGTTCAGTTGTATCTAGAAGTGGCACATTGCACTCGCTTTTTCGGTTCGTTCCTCCGTTCCGTTCCTCGTCGGCGTGGAGTGATGAGTGTGTCTGTGGGTGTTTTTCGCTGCGCGGTCGCTGTCTGCTCCGTGTGTGTTTCTGCGGGTGGTGCGGCTTTGTAGTTTACTGAAGTCGTGCTGAGACACCCGAGTGGATTCGTGTATAGGGCACTCTGGATTGTGGGGCGCGCAGTCTTTTTTTGATGGGGTTGGAGGTTTATGAGCGCAACCTATGGTGTGGAAAGTACGGTAAAAAATTAAGAACAGTCACTGGCGAGGTTAGCAGTTTGGGGGCCCTTGGCGAACTTAAGTTTGGGGCCATTGTCCAATTTGTTCAGTCTGCATTCTAAGTGCAGCTTGCAGAGCGTTCATTCGTGCAGTAACAAACATTTCAGTCACACTCGTCCATTGTTGCCTCCTCAAAAGCACATACATATGTACAAGTCAAAATAAAATTGAAAATAAGTAGTTAAAAAAAAATTAACATCAGCGTTTTAACATATTAAAATTAAAGGTGCACTTTGTAACTTTTTGGTTAGGCGTCCATCACCTGCTTGTTTCTATGGAGATGTCATTTCTTTGCCTGGAATGTTCCACAGTACGGCATTAAACAGTTCTACCTTATTATTTATTATTACAGGTGGTTTTATCGCTCAAAATTAGGTAGAAAAACAGGCATTCTGACTGTGAGCGGAGTCGCCTCTCCACAGATCTGACCTCAGGGTAGCTGTGGGGTCTTAAAAGTCTTTAAAAGGTCTTAAATTTCGTGTTTCTAAATTAAGGCCTTAAAAAGTCTTAAATTATGTTGTCCAAGTCTTATTTCTTTCAACTGGGCTGCAGATGTTAAATAAAGGGAGGAAATAACAACAATAACAACAACAACAACAACGTGAAATTACGCAACATGAATGAACTTCTAATTTGGAGTATGCTCAAACAATATTTAGTTTTTGGCCATTTTACAAGCTATGCATACTACCATAAATGAGTTCAGTGAGTCATGGTCATTATTAGAATTGGATCTGGTGTTTTTCGCCCGCATAATAGTGCAGTGTTGGTCTTAATTTTCATTTAAGTGGTCTTAAAAAGTCTTAAATTTGGGGTAGTCAAACTTTGGAATACCTTGGACCTGTAATTTGGTCTGGTTTGGTCTCTGTGAAGATAGAAATGTATTTGACGGACCCTCCACCAGAAAAGTTACACAATGCCCCTTTAAACTTTTGACTTAAACTTTATTGATCCACAAGGGAAATTATTTGGACACAGCAGCTCACACATCACAATATTTTATAAAAACAAAGAGTAAAAAATATGAACGGTAATAAAAATATCTAAATAAGTAGCAAAAAAGATAGCAATAAGGCATAATTATATAAATGTAAATGTACAAGTCAAAATAAAATAGACAATAAGTAGTAAAAAAAAAAAATTAACATTAGCATTTTTAACATATAAAACTTAAGGATGTACTGTGTAACTTTCTGGTTGAGGGTCCGTCACCTGCTTGTTTCCGTGGATATGTCATTACTTTGCCTTAAATGTTCCACAGTACGACATTAAACAGTTCTACCAATCTATTACAGATGGTTTTATAGCTCAAAAATACCTAAAAAAAAACTGCTGTCCACAGATCTGACCTGTAACTTGGTCTGGTTTGATCTCCGTGAAGATAGATAAGCAGAAAAAGTTACACAATGCACCTTTAAACTTCAGACTTAGACAAACTTTATTGATCCACAAGGGAAATTATTTGGACACAGCAACTCACACATCACAAAATAATATAATAACAGAGACTAAAAATATAACTGTAATAATAAATTGAATATTTACAGAGAATTTGTGATTTTCCACTAGTCTGTAAACAGCCTGAGAATTGCTCCATTTCTTAATTCTCATTTTATTTATCCGTAAAGGGACAGCGCTTATTAAACATTAAAATATGCAAAGATTAAAGCCAACGTGGCTAATTTCCATCTGCAGTCTCTCGGGAGGTTGATGTCAAACAATGGGGAAAGACTTGTTTTATGGCTCGGGCTCCAGTGTAAATTGCGATTAGACTTATTCCTTTTATTCACACTAGTCTTTGGTTTGTCATTCATCCTTCTTTGCTGATCTGAAAACCTGACGCTTTCGCAAACAAAGGAAGTAACAAAGGAAGTAAATAGAAGATGGAGGGTGCGTATTTGGAGCTAACATTGAAAACACTGGTCACATAAATCTGTGCTTTGTTGCAAATTGTAACCCGCTGTTATGGTCAAGTGCTGGCTCCTCCATGTATGTTTAGAAATCGAAAGCTGAAATGTTAAAGCTGAGGGTTTGATGCACAAGCCAGTGTTTAAATCTGCTTTATATCCAAACATAGGGAAATATTTTCATTTGAATATTGTGCGTTGAAAATATATGTTTACCCTTTAGCAAACTGGTACCCACTGAGAGCTTGTACAGTACTGCAGTAAATACTAATCATAAACTGTATTTATAAACGGACATTCAACGGAAAATCATCGCCCCTCTGTCCGTAACTGCAGTTGTCAGACTCCTCATTTTGGTCTTAAAATGTTGATATTAACCCGCTCTACGAGATCCTGGTGTTTTTATTTCGCTATTTTGTCCATAAATACAGAATTTGGCTCCAAATTTGGGCCTCGGTGAGCTTCATTTGACTGGAGCCGAACGCTATGGGTGACGTCACACTCCCTTAGGCTACTTTTTTTTACAGTCCAAGTCCAAACACAAAAAAAGAAAATTTGTATTTGAATATTTTGCATGAAAATATACACTTTTCTTTTATTAAATTGTTACTCACAAACATCTTGGACAGAAGGGCAGTAAATAAAACTAATATTGTAGTAAGTATAATGATCATTTGCAGTCCAGGACGAGGCTAAGTAAGAGTCATGGTGTGAAAAATAGATGTACCATGTTTTTCGGACTATAAATCGCTCCAGATAGTAAGTAACACCGGCCAAAAATGTGTAATGAAGAAGAAAAAAACATGTATAAGTCACACCGGACTATAAGACGCACTTTTGGGGGAAAATTCGTTTTATAAAATCAGACCAGGAACCAACATTTCATCTTGAAAGACAAGTTCTAGTAATAACAATAGAACAGAAAACAACAGACTGTTAACGTCACATGTGAACAGTTCTTCAGATAACTACAACATAAACAACAGAACAGAACAAGTTTACCAAACTGTGCGAAGAATCCCTCAGTCGTCCAGGTAGAATCCATGAGGAGAAAAATTCAGTTTGTCATCTTCAACCAAACTAACTTTTGTCCAGAAACAAACTGAATTTTTCTCCTCAAGTTTACCAAACTCTCCATCTTACTCCAAATCACAAAATCCATTCAATTCTTCATCCTCGGTGTCACTTCTGAGTAACTCCGCATCCTCCGGAGGTAAACAGAGCGCCGCTTCCTCTTCTGCGTCGCTGTCGTCAGACTCAGCATCAGTTCCAGTTAGAATTATTCCGGCCTTTCTGAATCCCGACAGGATGGTTTCACTTAAATATAAAATTTTCAGTGGTACAGAAGTAACTGACATGATACAGACAGGACAGAGGCTCTTTCTGCAGGAGACATGCGCAGTAGAGTGAAGTGACAGTGGTACAGGAGGAACAGGAGCAGCAGATACTCACACACAAGACTAGAGCCTCTCGTGTCTGTCAATGTGAAAATTTTAATATGTAAGTTGCACCGGAGTATAAGTCGCAGGAAACACCCAAACCATGATAAAAAGTGCGACTTATAGTCTGAAAAATACGGTCTATAGATGCAATTGATGGACTCACCACCAAGTTACATAATGCACCTTTAATATTCACTTCATTCAGTTTTGGCAGAACCATAATCAGAATAGTTAGACCAAGGACTATAGATTCATTTATGGAGGGTTCACTTTATAGAAATTTCGCTTTTGTACCTGTTCTGCTGTACATTAATGTTCGCTGTTTCTTTTTAGTAACTTGAGGATTCTGCAGAAGTCTTCCTTGGCAAATGGAGAAGAGTGGCAGGAAAAACCTCTGTGTCTGGGCTCGACTGCCTCGTGTGGTACGACGCTGAACGGCAACATCCTGGGCTTTGGAGAAGATGAGCTGGGTTAGTACAAGCTCGGTTTTGTGTTTCTTTTATCGCGAACAAAAGAACTGCAACCCCCACTTTTAAAGGTCCGTCGTAAAAGGATGGATTTAGAACAACTGCTCCTGAAAAGCCTCTCGTAAATCTTTTCTATACATATTTTCAATCCACTTTATTTAAATAGCACATTTTATACACATGAATTTTTTTCTGGTGGAAGGTCCGTCAACTGCTTTTCTCCATGGACATGTTTCACAGTGTGGTATTAAACTGTTTTTATCTTCATGGAGACCAAACCAGACCAAGTTACAGGTCAGATCTGTGGAGAGGCGACCCCGCTCACAGTCTGAATGTTGTTTTTTTTAGGTATTTTTGAGCTATAAAACCACCTGTAATTGAATAAATGTAATATAGATACTGTGGAACATTCCAGGCAGAGCAGTGACATATGACAGAAACAGCAGGTGATGGACCCTCAACCAAAAAGTTACATATTGCATTTTTCGGACTATAAGGCGCACTTAAGATCCTTTAATTTACTAAAAAATGTACAGTATGCGCCTTATAATCCGGTGCACCTTATGTATTAATTATGGTTGTGCTTACTGACCTTTTATGTGGTACACAGTGTTCAAAAATCAAATCAATCAATCAAACTTTATTTCTGTAGCGCTTTCCAACAACCAAAGCCGACCAAAGTGCTGTACAACATTAAAACAGGATAAAAAACAATAAACATCATACAAATAGGTCAACAAAGCACATTACACCATTAAAATAAAGAAAGGGTCACAGGGCCACTAAGTGTTAAAGATCTGTCAAAATGTTTTAGTACGACTTTGGTAAACTACGAAGCCGCACTGCTTGTTGGATTGTCGGAGCATTACCACTACTGTAGTCAGGAACCTTGCGGAGAACAAACATTCCACTGAGTCGTGTCCTTTAGTCCAGTAGAAGCTGACCACATCAGCCACAAGGATTGATCTGTTTTTTCAGAGCTTATTGTTTATGCAAATTAGACATGCGGTTTTAAATTTTGTTTGTGTAAAATGTAAACAAATGTGTGCAAAGTTGCATTAAACACATTATTACTCAATGTATATTTGAGTCCGTAGGAAATTTTAAAAAAATTAAACTTGAATTATCCACCCACATTCACATTCAAAAAACACCAAGACAGGGAGACAACGCCGGGCGAATTACGCCACGATCTGCTAATGGATCATGGACGCCTGGACTAAGGATCAGTCTCAAGTGTCGTCTGTTTGTTTCGCTTAATGCTCCTTATAATCCGGTGCGCCTTATGTATGAAAACAGATGAGAAAATTCAACATTATTGATATTACGCCTTATAATCCAGTGCGCATTATAGTCTGAAAAATACGGTAGTTCACCTTTAAGACTACAAAAGAGAGCAGATCATAAATGTGTTAGAATGCATAAAGTTAAAATTGTTATAACTTGAAAATGAATAAATAAATACAAGACAGAGGACCACACGTTTCCTGCACTAGTTCCTTGTGAGAAAGTTGTGCAAATTCATCACATTTTGATAAGGTTGTGTCAGCCGAGGTAAGCAGCCTAATGAAACACAGAACTGCTTAACTTCCTGGAAATACACCAGACATTTACAAAAATATTAACTATCAAACGTACTGTTTCTTGTTAAGCAAAAACATGTTGTAGATCACTGACAAATGCTCGCAGAAATGTGTGATGAGATTCCTCGCCAGTTCCTGTTACATAACTAGAAATTTAAAGGACCTATATTACGCAAATTTTACTCTGGAGTTGTGTTTTGTTTCATTCAAACATGTTTTAGTAATCCATTATTATTTGTCTACATCTCCAAAGCTCAAAATCCTCAGTTCTACCTTGTGATGTCATGAAGTTTTGAAGTTGACAGCTACTTTTGACCTTTTGTTTAGCAGAAATTGACTATTCCAGGGCTGAAATGATCCAAATGATTCTAGTGAAGGTGTAGGAAGTTTAAAAACACAGTGGAGCACTTCCTGTATTGCCACATGACATCACAAGGTGGAACGGAGTGTTTTCTGTTAGAGAGAAGAACCTAAATATGCAGGTTTTGTGTGTTAAACGTGTGAATGAAACAAAACACAACTCCAAGTCTGTTTCTAATCCATGTATCATTCGTTCATTTGTTTTTCAAAATAAAACCAAAACGGAAAAACAACATTTTTCTTCATTATTTGTCTCCAAAGCCAAAATGAAAAACCGATAATCATTAGTTTTTTCAGTTTTCAATTTTGTCTTTAAGTGAATAATGGAAAAAAACGGATAACAGCCGTTTCCTGTTTCCGTGACTTAAACTGCGATGCTGGACTGAACCAGGACTAAACTGGTCTCTGTCTGGTTCCGGTCTCAGTCCCGATCTGGTCCCGGTCTGGTCCAGGTCTCACTCCCCGTCTGGTCCCAGTCTCAGTTCCGATGTGGTACCGGTCTCAGTCCTGGTCTGGTGCCAGTCTGGTCCCGGTGTCAGTCTTGGTCTGGTCCTGGTCTCGGTCTCGGTCCCGGTCCCATTCTCTGTCCCAGTATCGGTCCCGGTCTCAGTCCTGGTCTGGTCCTGGTCTTGGTCCTGGTCTTGGTCACGGTCTCATCTCGGTCCCAGTCCCGTTCTCGGTCCCAGTCTCTGTCCCTGTCTCTGTCCAGGTCTGGTCCCGGTCTCAGTTTCAGTCTCAGTCCAGGTCCTGGTCCCAGTCTGTTCCCGGTCTCGGTCCCTGTCTCAGTCCTGGTCTGGTTCTGGTCTGGTCCCGGTTTCAGTCCTGATCACCCGACAGTCTATGTGGGTGCACCTCCGGGCCGGTCCTGACACTCAGTCCTGGTCCAGTCCCGATTCAGTCCCGGTTCAGTCCCGGTTCAGTCCTGGTTCAGTCCTGGTTCAGTCCTGGTTCAGTCCGTATGCTTTGTAAAAGTCCGGCATCACAGTTTTCATTTTGGTTTTGGAGACAAATAATGAAGAAAAAAAAGTTGTTTTTCCGTTTTCTTATTGTTTTTATTTTGAAAAACGAATGAACAAATGACACACGGATTGATTCTGACAATCTGAAACATTAAAACATAGATCAGAAAATAATGTAATATAGACTCTTTAGATTTTCCTGGATTTAATCAACGTTTGTCAATGGTAAAAAAAAATAAAAAAAAATAGTTGGATGGGTATGGGCCCCCTCAGACACATGCTTGCAATTTGTCCCCTTATGGAATTTACTTGGGGGCTTGTTCCTCATTAAATTATCTGCTTGGTTCCCAGTCATAAGTATCCAATTGTCTCATTAAACCTTTGGCAGGTGCAGGATTGCAGAAGCTTTGACTCTATTGATTGTTCTCATGTCATTGTGTGTCTGTCTTCTCCTATTGTCTCCCATCTGTCGTCATTTTACCCCATTTCGCCCTGAGACGTACATGTATTATACCACCCATATTACCTTATTTTCCTATTCGTTTGTAAAGCGAGTGTCCAATAAGTGCTATATAAGTCCAGTGTATTATTATTATTTGTTATAATGTTGTTTCCTCATCAAAAACATACCTGGAGTTGTGTCAAACCCTGCGTATTTAGAGTTCTTCTCATCTACGGAAGCCGAGAGGGGTCACAACAAACGCAAACGCCGCAACAAATACAAATGCGACAACACAACAAAAAGCCACAATGCACCAAAAAAAGCCACAACACACCAAAAAAAGCCGCAACACACCCAAAAAAAAAAGCCAGAAATGACCGCAGGACTCTATTTTAATGCAAACGCCACAACACAAATGGAAATGCCGCAACACATTAAAAAGCCACAACACATCAAAAAGCCACAACGGAAGTGACCGCGGGACTCTATTTTCCGACGGACCGATCAAGCGGCAAGTGAAGAAGAAAAACTACAACGTGAAATGAATAATAATAAAACAATAAATTACTTTTACTTACATCTCCAACTTCTCCATTCCTTTACTTTTCACGTTGTAGTTCTTCTTCTTCACTTGCCGCTTGATCGGTCCCGCGATCACTTCCGTTGTGGCTCTTTAATGTGTTGCGGCATTTGCGTTTGTGTTGTGGCGTTTGTATTTGTTGCGGCGTTTGCATTAAAATAGAGTCCCGCGGTCATTTCCGTTGTGGCTTTTTTTGGTGTGTTGTGGCTTTTTGTTGTGTTGTCGCATTTGTATTTGTTGCGGCGTTTGCGTTTGTTGTGACCCCTCTCGGGTTCCGTACCCATCTCATGCAAAATCAACTTTTCAGAGCTTTCTACCTTCTAAGAGTGATGTGTGGGCCTTTATATATGTAGACGAAGGACTTTTTAGATTGATTTGGGTTTTTTTTTTTAAACAAATATGAAAAGATAAGAAATTATACAAAACATGTCTTAACATTTCAACATGTATCACAACTGTATATTGCAGGTTTACATGCAGATTGTAACAAAGCGACCCCAAAAAAAAAATCTCTCGTGACCCACCTGAGGGTCGCAATTCAGTCTTTGGGAAACAATGGGTTAGAGTTTATGTTATGACTAAGCAATGACAAAGTGAGGTACAAGGCGCAGGTCTGAGGTAAAAGGAGCTGTTAACGTGAAAACTATCGCTGCATGACATCACAAGGTGGAACAGAGCATTTTGAGCTTTGGAGATGTAGACAGACTAATAATAAAAGATTACTCAAACATGTGAATGAAACAAATGAAACACAATTTCAGGTATGTGCTTGATGACATGACTTCAAGCTCACAAGAATCCTTTTTGTGTAATGTAAGACCTTCAAATACTTTTTTAAATTAAATATTCTTATGTGTATGTTTTGTTTTTTGTTTTTTTACAGGTGAGGTGTACATTTTAGCGAGCAGTAAAAGCATGGCACAGCTACACAGCGGCAAACTCTACAAACTGGTGGATCCCAAAAGGTAAAGCCCACACACTGCTTCTCGGCTGCCTCACATTCAAAACAAACCACTACTCTCTGCCCGTAATTGATGCTTTGCGGCCGATGTCGTCAACATTCCCCGGGGGTGTGACGCTAACCGTAGGCATGCTCTGTCTGAAGTTCTGACTTGGCTGGAACTACTACAGGAGAGCTGATTTGTGCTGTTAAACAAATCCCTCTCAAATAAAATTACACAACTCACACCTTTTTGTTGAAAATCAAACTCTAAACAAAACCATGAACGCTCGTATTGATCACAGGCTCCTGAACATCTTTAGTTTAAATCCATTTTGTGTTTTTGCTCGAATATTTTTAACAGTGTTTGCTGATGTGTACTTTGTGTTGCCATAGTAACCACTGATCATTCCACTGTATATGTAGAACACTTTACGCCTGTCAAACTCAAATTCACAGAGGCCAAAATTAAAAACTGGGACTATGTTGGGGCCAAACTAAATATTTATTGAAAAATTTGAAAAATTTCAACAACATTTGCATGTTTTCTCTTCTTTCGAGATATGTAATGTGAAACCTTTTCTTATTAAAAATGTATGTGTTTTGTTTTGTGGTGCTGCAAATTGTCCAAATAAACTCCTACTACTACTACTACTACTACTACTACTACTACTACTACTACTACTACTACTACTACTACTACTACTACTACTACTACTACTACTACTACTACTACTACTACTACTACTACTACTACTACTACTACTACTACTACTACTACTACTACTACTACTACTACTACTACTACTACTACTACTACTACTACTACTACTACTACTACTACTACTACTACTACTACTACTACTACTACTACTACTACTACTACTACTACTACTACTACTACTACTACTACTACTACTACTACTACTACTACTACTACTACTACTACTACTACTACTACTACTACTACTACTACTACTACTACTACTACTACTATTACTACAGCTACTACTAATGTTTAATAATAGTTTTGCTTAAACATTGAATTCAGAACAAATATAATATACAATAATAACAACATATTAAATAAATAATGTCTCTGTAGGCGGCGGGCAGCTCTAATATATATTTGATACGATCTCGCAGGCCAAATATAATTATATCGCGGGCCAAATTTGGTCCCCGGGCCTGAGTTTGACATGTATGCTCTAAGTGGTGCACTGTGTAATTTTTCTGGTGGAGGTTCCGTCAAATGCTTTTCTCCGTAGAGAAGTTATTGCTTTGTCTGGAATGTTTCACAGTATGGTATTAAACCTTTCTATCGCCATGGAGACCAAACTAAACCAAGTTACAGGTCAGATCACACTCAGAATGCTTGTTTTTCTAGGTATTTTTGTGCTATAAAATCACTTGTAGTTTAATAAATGTAAGGTAGAGCTGTTTAATGTCACACTGTGGAACCTTCGTATCCATAGAAACAAGCAGCGAAAAGCTTTAATGGGGCAGCTTCTCTCAAATGAAAACTGCCTCGTTAACTTGTATGGAAATGGGGCGAGCTGACAGAACAGGTTAGTCTTTGACGCTACTACTGAAAGCATGAATCTCCTCTTTGACGCGGAGCCCATCTGTGCGCACACATTCCCTGCACTCTGCCTCGATGCGAAAGCGCAACTCAAAACAAGTCGTCACTTGAACACATGCCACAGACAGTGACGAGACCCACAACACCGATGCCACGTTAGAGCCATTTTTAAAGGGCCCATATGACGTTATTTTCTCGCCTATGTTATGATGCCGTTTCCTCGTCACAAACAGACCTGGAGTTGTGTTTTGTTTGTGTGTTTCGTTCACGCACGTTTAACACACAAACCCTGCATATTTAGGCTGAGTTTTTCTCTCAAACAGAAAACACGCAGTTCCACCTTGTGATGTCATGTGGTGATACAGGAAGTGCATCTCTGTGTTCTTAAAGGGTGAATGGCTTTTCCACCTTCAAGACACTCGAAGCGCTTTACAACAAGGAACCGCTCACACATTCACATGCATTCTTACACACATTCATACACTAGTGTACGCAGAGACTGGGGGCGAGGTGGATTAAGTGTCTTGCCCGAGGACACAACGACAGCATTCATCGGTGGGAGCTGGAATCACACCGCCAACCTGTGGGTTAGAGCAGGGGTCCCAAACCTCGGGCCGCGGACCAATAATCAGGCCTAAACCAGGTCTAAACCACGACTAAGCCAGGTCTAATCTAGGTCTAAAACAGGTCTAAAACAGGTCTAAATCAGGACTAAACCAGGTCTAAACCAGGACTAAATCAGGTCTAAACTAGGTCTAAATCAGGTTTTAACCAGGTCTAAATCAGGTCTAAAAGAGGACTAAAGTAGGTCTACACCAGGTCTAAACCAGGACTAAACCAGGTCTAAACCAGGTCTAAACCAGGACTAAACCAGGTTTAAACCAGGTCTAAACTGGTCTAAACCAGGTCTAAACGAGAACTAAACTACGACTAAACCAGGACTAAACCAGATCTAAAACAGGACTAAACCAGATCTAAAACAGGAGTAAATCAGGTCTAAACCAGGTCTAAAACAAGACTAAACCAGGTGTAAAACAGGTCTTAAACAGGACTAAAACAGGTCTAAACACAGGTCTAAAACTGGACTAAATCAGGTCTAAACCAGGTCTAAAAAGGACTACAACAGGACTAAAACAGGTCCAAAACAGGTCTAAAACAAGACTAAAGCGGGACTAAAACAGGATTTAACTAGGACTTAACCATGCTGCGTGAACTTCCCATCCATACGCCGTCTTTTTCCCGCGGTCCACACACCGCAAAATATAGTTGAATATAAAACCGGTCCGTGGTGCAAAAAAGTTGGGGACCACTGAGTTAGTGGATCTGACTATTGTTTGAGAACGGGATTCGAACCGCCAACCTTTAGATCAGTGGACAAACTGAGCTCCATACACCTTCACTAGAATCATTTGGATCATTTCATGTACCTGTTAACAACCACTTCATGACATCACAAGGTAGAACAGAGCATTTTAGGCTTTGGAGATGCAGACAGACTAATAATAAAGGATTACTCAAACGTGTGAATGAAACAAAACACAATTCTAGGTGTTTTTGAGTCGGTAACAACATTCTAACACGTCTTAAAGCTCACGAGAGTCTATTTTGTGTAATATAGGACCTTTAAAGCCTGCGTCACACTGCAGAGGATCTTACACCCGCTGTTGTTGAACTGTGGAAAACTTGTACGTGAGTTCTCTTCATAATTCATGTGTCTGCTCAAGTTTATCATGCAAAGGCTAATAGAAATCACCCTGGTTGTGATGGATCTGTAAACTGTTTGCAAAAGCCGAGTACATATGAAAATAATTTAGGCACTTCTACACAAACCATCAGTTTATTTTACGCACAGGGAGAAGCTGGGCACACATGCTTCTGTGTAATCTTTGTGTTTAAAACTCTGCTTTTTATGTTAAGCCACTCATAAGTATCCAATTGCAGGATTTCAGATGACATCATTACGTTCAATTTTATTTCGTAGGTAAAATTAATATTGTTCAGCTGCAGATTTGTGTTGTAATGGAGCACGGTCTTGGGTCTAGTCAGTGATAGAAATGAACAGGTTCCGTATTTGGGAATTTACCTTTTCAATATTTCACGGCAAAGTGTCATTAATAGAAAAAAAAAAAAAGACGAGATTGAGTCCACAAGATGAGATTTTAACATAATTCGTCATATATACATTTTTTATTTATTTGATTTTATATTTTTGTTTTCCGTACGCTTTTTGGAACTGTAAGGCTACGTTCAGACTGCAGCCAAATTAGATTTTTTTGACCCAATGCGACCTGTATCTGATCTTTTAATGACAGTCTGAACGACACAGATCCGATTTTTTCAAATGTGACCCAGGACACTTGGATATGTGCTCCTGAAACCGATACGTATCCGATTTTTTGACACGCGACTTCAGTCTGAACGGCCAGGTCGCCTTCATCCCACCTACACGTCATCAACAAGCGAGAGTTGTACAAGTAGGAGCTCACAAATGTACAAAAACGTTCTTCTTGTCATATGAAAAAGCGAAGCGAAGCACAGATCAATCCCACCACTCTTGGCTGCGACTCTGCACCCACACGTTCCTTTTTACAGACATCGCTGCCACAAAACGCCATGGCCAAAAACCTCGTCCTTCTCCTTCTCAATCTCCTCCTTAACACAAATAAGATATACATGTTTTGGCTCCGGTAAGACAGTAACTTTACGCAGCGTCTGACATCGTCGTCGTGTCCTCCAGTGATCATGCGGGACACTTTTAAGGGCGTTTAAAGTTCACACTGGAGATTACGTACAAGTTTAAGTCATTTAACTAGAAATGTGAACGACCTCGCAAAAAAATCTCACCTGTGTTTATCCCCGTTTCATACATTCCAAACGTAAACACATGGAGAAAAATCTCACGAGATCATTTTCCTCATGTGTGCACGAGCTTGTAGTGATTTTGTCTCACGAGATCTTGTCCTATCCCCAGGAAAAACTGTCTCTTGCCTCCATCTGAAAGTCTGAAAGTATCACCATATTCTAGAAACTGAAAACCAGGTCTAAAACAGGACAAAATCAGTTCTAAATCAGGTCTAAACCAGGTCTAAAATAGGTCTAAAACAGGACTAAATTAGGACTAAACCAGGACTAAACCAGGTCTAAACCAGGTCTAAACCAGGTCTAAAACAGGACTAAATCAGGACTAAACCAGGTCTAAAACAGGACTAAATCAGGACTAAACCAGGTCTAAACCAGGTCTAAAACAGGTCTAAAACAGGACTAAATTAGGTCTAAACCAGGTCTAAAACAGGACTAAACCAGGTCTAAACCAGGTCTAAACCAGGACTTAATCAGATCTAAACCAGGCCAAACCAAGTCTAAACCAGGTCTAAAAAACAGGACTAAATCAGATCTAAAATTGGTCCAAACCAGGTCTAAACCAGGACTGAAAACTGCCAATT